CCTTGGCGTTAGAGTAGCGCTGGGTTAGATTGCTACAGCGGGTAGTAAGCTAGTTAGCCGGACATGCTAACATTTGCAATCACACCTTTTAATCCACTCTTTACAGTGGCCTCTCCTGGATTGTCGTCAGACACTGATAAACATTTATTTAGATGAAAATGCTAGTGTGCATATTAAGTTAGTTAGCCAGGCATGCTAACATTTGCAAACACACTGTGTAATCTATCTAATCTTACACTTTAGATCTTATTCATTGTTTTGGGAAGATAAAAAAAAAACAAAAAACACCATGCAGTCATTGGACAATGTTCAGTGAAACGGGTTCAGTGAATCGTTGTCTTGTAGAAATTAGTCACTGAAAGCACATTAAACATTTATTTACATGAAAATGCTAGTTAGTTTAAGCTAATTAGCCAGGCATATCTTTAAAATTCATCCATTAAAGTCACTTCTGACACAGCAACTTTTTCCATATGTTGCTTTTCTCTTGAACTTCCAGTTGTTGCAGACTAATAAAGACTGAACAGTGGTTGATGGCATGTTTGAGAGGTCAGATTCATATGATGTCATGTGTGGCATCTACATTATGAATAATGTTTGTTAGGATTGCTTTGAGCAGTATGGACTCTGTGTGGTTGTGTGGGTTTTATATTTCTCGTAAACACATGTACAACTACATTTGATTTACATTCTGTAATTAGTGGCACTCTGCCTGTTTTTCATGCTGACTAACATGATGACAGATTAAATGACATATGCATCACAGGACCCACTTCTCCATTTCAGTTCTCACATGGTTGTGAAAGACCGATGACTCTCAGGCAGATATCTGATCATCATTAACGCTGAATATAACTGAGGTGTTAATGTGCGGAAAACCTTTCCTCTTTGTTATCCTCGGTCTCTGGGTTGGTTTGCTGTTTGTTGGTTTGTGTGTGTGTGTGTGTGTGTGTGTCTGTGTGTGTGTGTGTGTGTGTGTGTGTGTGTGTGTGTGTGTGTGTGTGTGTGTGTGTGTGTGTGGGTGTCTGTGTGTGTGTGTGTGTGTGTGTGTGTGTGTGTGTGTGTGTGTGTGTGTGGGTGTCTGTGTGTGTGTGTGTGTGTGTGTGGGTGTCTGTGTGTGTGTGTGTGTGTGTGTTGACGTGGGTTTAGGCCCTTCATTAAACAGCTTCTTTCAGCTGCCACTTCTCGCTCTCTCTTCCTTCTTTCTGATTCTCTCTCACACACACACACACACACACACACACACACACACACACACGTGATTGTATGTAGGTCTACACCTGTGGGACACAGCACCTCCATAAACCCCAAGCAGCCACCAGCACATCAGTGAGCTGAGTGTGATGTCTGTGCTGTGGTCAGCACTGCTGCTTACTGAGCTCATTGTGCGTGGTGAAGTTTCATATAAAAGTGTGGGTGGTTTTCTTTTTTCTTGATATATATGATTTGTATTTTTCATGTATAGACCAGTTTCCACCTCTGACTAGAAGTAACAAAGTCAGGGCCACGAAATTATGAAATATCCCACCAGCTCACCGACCTGTTGTTACTAGAGCTCCAGAGAGAAGCCTGAGAGAGGAGATGTAAAACTACACTGAGATGGTTTTTGGTTCTTAAAACCACAAATATATCTTCTTATGGATCAACACTTCAAAATAAAACACATGGAAACATGTCTCTCTGTGTCTTCGGTTGGTGCTGGGCAGGTCGCCCACCAGCTGAAAACAGGCTTGTTATGAGCAGTGAGACTCAATTATCAATCAAATATCACCCAGATAATTTACTGTGCACTGCAAGCTGCCAGTTTCGCATTACACATAGTTAATTATATTTTTTAAATATTAGTTTAGCTTTAAAGTAATTATTAACCACACAAGGTATTAAATAACGACATGCACAATTAAATCTGCTGAAAACACTTCCAAATTTGTATGAAATAATACATCCAAAATTATAAACACAGATTATTGACACACGACACAAGTAGATCATTGGTTTTTAATCCAAGTTTAGCAGTGGGAGCCTTCAAAGACATGAAGCGATCCAACCTAATACATACAGTCAGCATTAATTCACACACACACACACACACACACACACACACACACACACACACACACACACACAACTCCACCCGTCCCATCCCACAGGAGCAACATCTGATGGCGTGCTGAGGAAGCTGCTCGCTCCCCAGAGATAAAACCACATTAGCATGTACGAGTTCTTATCTTCTGAGTGGTGGCTAATTAGATTCTGTGGCTCTAATATGAATAATCTGATGTGCCCTTCTTCCTTCTCCTCCTCATCATCACGCCAAAGCCTCCAGGTTTTGCCGAAGTAAGGGTGGAGACGTGAATGGGTGAATCTCTGTTCTTCTGTGCTTCTTTTCTTTTGAAACAGCTCTTTAATCTCCGGTAATGCATTATACAACTACACGGCCTCGCCAGTGAAAACTTGTGTAACTGCCACGGCATAATGAAAATTGAGACATCTGGCTTCACCATTTGCTGCAGCCTTGTTTGTTTTGTAAAATCAGGACTTAAATATCCTCATTGAAATCATGAATAAACCAGCATTCTCACTGCACTCTTATTAACAGTCTTAATATTCACTGTGAGGTCCGTCAGTGACGTACAGATGAACCGCTGTTTCACAAGGAACAGGGAGTTATAATTATAGTTCAGAGGAATCACCTCTTATGAAAAGTCTTCCTATGACAAGAATCAATGTTAAAGTCATCCTACACTCACTGTGTGTCATCTTCACAGGAGCTAATGAGGAACCGTCGCCTCCTCTGACTTATGATCCATATTGTTCTGCCCCCAGACTTTGTTAGCCAGTCATCTCTGTTTTACTCACAGTTCCTGGTGTGACATTCATTTACAATTACTCACTGATACTCTCTGACCTTTCGAATCTAAAGATGCAAGTGGAAAAATGAAAAATGAAAGTGTTGCTACCTTAGAATAGGTGCGTTTCATTGGAAAAGAAAACAAAATTACATAGGTTTTTCTGCTACAGCTACCACACTGTAAACATGGAACAAATGTTGAAGCAATGCACTAGTAAATTCATTGAGTAATTTCACCCTGGGCTGAAATTAGTCAGTAGTGGATGCATCGACCAACAGACTGACATCATCGTGCTTAAAGCTGTTTGTGGTTGAAAATAAAATACATTTACTGAAATATGAACTCAGACATGTCAGATTGTTGATTCATGTCATTATACAACTGTTGATTGTAAAAATGTTTAAATGTTTAATTATTATGAAATTCCCATTCCCATAATGCAATATTATTACAACATGCTGGTAAAACACAGGAGTAACTGATGATATTACATCATGTACAGCTCCAGGTCCCTGGAATTATATATACTGGTTTACAGGGATGTTAAATGGAGAGGAGCCATTTTAAATGCTAATAATTACACCTGTGCTTTTCCCGCTTGTGGCCTTCGTCAGGGTCGTCATCACAAAACACATCACAAGTAACATTTAAATAAGATATAATACCGAAAACATACAAAACAGTCAATCGTGTGTGAGAACAGATATCTGCTTATGGCACTTCTTCAGAAGATGAGCCTGTCATTTTGTGGCTTCAGGCCAGTCATTGTCTCAGGCGGGTGGGGTGTGCTATTTATGTTATACAGAAGTCGTCGTAAAAATACATGAATACACATAAATACATCCAAACCTACCAAAGCTATCTGGAAAGCTAACATAGCTAATAATATTAATCAAGCTAATATCCAAGGTAATAATAAAATTACTAAATTATATATTTTTTAAAAGATATCAGATCAGATATCAGATTAAAGCTGCAACAATCAATATTTTTATATTAACAATGAATTAAATGACAGTGCAGTGTGCAAAGGTGTCGCACACATTGACAAACCCACAGGGAGCACAACTTTACAGTTTGGTTGAAATTCATCATCTCATCAACGCTGTTTCCAACAACAGCCAAATATTTGTAGAGAAGAAGCTCTGATAAACTGTACATCACAAACCCAGACAGACAAAGTTAGCGCCTTGCTAGCGAACATAGTAAAGCATTTAACAACTACAGAGCAAAGTAGAAGTAGAGTGAATATTGGATGCATTAGCACAAATGCTAATGTTGCTCCATTTCTGCTGAATGTGTAAATAGCTAACTGCTAGCACATTCAATGAACACACCTTCACAAAGGTGATAATATGTCGTTTCACTGCTTGTTGAATATCAATTATTGCAGCTTTAAAATTAATTCTACATATATTTCCTCAATCTTCTTCCAAACGTCATACAAATGTAATTTTCTATCTACTTGTGTCTGGTTTGTTAAAAGTTAAAAGCAAAAATAAATCTGTCTAAACTTAAAGTAAAAGCATTAATAACTTAGCAAGCACATACAAAAGCTTCTAGTTGTAATTTTAGCATTGACAGGAAACGTAGGTTGTTACTTCCACCACTGCCAACAGCAGTTTTCTCTGAGCTCTAACTACATACTAAGAGAAAAAAAAACACATTTCCATTTGACATTACAGTGTTTTTCTGTCTGAGTTGCTGAATTTCTATTTATTCTTTTGAGGCCGTCAAACCAGAAAAGACTTGAATAATTCACCAGTTTTTCTTTTTCCAGTGACACCGTACCCAACTCCAATGGCATTTCTGTTCAGTCAACAACTTTGAACCTTTTCCATATTTTCTTCTCCTCCTTTAAAGCCCTCACTCGCATCTCTAGCTGTTTTTATAGTCAGAGTTTCCACATAGGTGTGGAAGCTGAACAGTTCTCCTTTTATTTGCAATCTGCTGCCGGAAAAGTCCCGAGGATACAAACTCCCGTACGGAGAACGACATCAGTGTGTTTCCTCTGCTGTGTGGAAGAAGTTGGCACATTGCTCTCACTGTTAAACTGTTACTTCAGAAGATACAGTAGATGGATAGTTTGTATGTGAACAGTCTCAGAGTTGTTGAAGTCTTAATTCGATTTTTTCTTCTGTGTTACAGACTGAAAGCTCTGGTGTCAACAGGAGGTCGGAGTGTGCAAGCAGCATGTGACTGGTAAGTTTAAACAACAAATGTGTGTATACAGTACATTCACATATACACAACACAGGCCCGAGGAAAAAGTGTGTTATACTGCCCTCTGCTGTAGAAGGGTGGTAAAAGTCTGTCTCTAAAAGTCGCAGGTTGTATATCCCTTCAGCCTTTCCAAGCCGGGTGAAGCGGCTTTTAGTTTCTCTGCTCCTCACCTGTGGGACAAACTTCCTGAACACCTGAGATCTGATGAAACTGTCAGCTCATTTAAATCAGGCCTTAAAAAAAGGCTGCAGCTTATACCAATAAATCACATATATAACATCTTTTTAATGTTGTGCATATTATTATTGTTAATGTCTTTTATTTATTTAAAATGTTGCCCTTAGTTTTCTGCCTGATCTTATGTATTTAAATAGTTTGCAATGCATTTTAATGTCATCTTAATTTTATATTTTGGATATATTTCCATGCCTCCGGAAAACACTGAATGCTATATCATACACCTGAATCCAAACTCAATAGCAATATGTTACATAATAACAACAATAATAATAATAATAATTTTCTTCATTTAATTGTTTCTTCAATTAATCATTTAAGTCCCATTTAGGTTGGAAACGTCCTTTGTAAGGGAGACCTGCCCAAGATGTAAAAAGTTACAGACAATACAGAAAAAGATGAAGCAACACTAAGAACAGACAATAATACTCAATAAACTAAGATTAAAAGAGATACAATTAAGGCTGGAGTAATTAACCAGTGAACTTACAGTCTACAGACTATTCCAGGTGTTTGGAGCAGAAACATGAAGGGCTGAACATTAGACCCAGACATTGAATATATGTCTCATGATTTTAGATCACAACTGCAAGATGAAGTATATGAAATAAAAGAAAAGTTTACATGTTCTCCTTGTGCCTGTGTGTGTTTTCTACGACTTCCTCCCACAGTCCAAAGACACACAGGCAGATTAACTGTAGAATCAAAACTAACCATAGGTTTGAATGTGTCTGTAAAACTTACTGGGACAATACAGGATTCTTCTTCTTCTAATGTAAACATAAATGGCCATCTGTCTCTATGTGTCAGCCCTGTAATTTGCTTTATAAATAAAAATGTTCCATTGACATAGTGGCTGGAGAGCAACCTACCTTCAGTTTCCCATTGTGTCAAGCCAAATAACATTTTATGGATATTTCCAAGAGATATCAACTCTATTGTCTTCCCCTGAGTCGTAACAGTGTGCACGGTGTCTGCAGGAATCAAATCAGTCAGTCAAACTCAATTTAGTTTTATCTACATTCACCACAGGTTTGAGGAGACTGAGCCCAGACTATAAAATATTTAAGGGAGACTCTAGTTTATGAGGTGAATATGAGAGAGAGGATCCACTGCAATAGCAATGAGCACCAGTTCATGCACATTAACACCTAAATATATTTAAAGACAAAATGAAAGTGGGCTAAACACAGAACCTTGGGGTGCTCCATTAAGTACAGAAAGACGAGTTGAAAATAAAGCCTGTTTTTGCCCATTAAACCATGTGCATGTATTTAATTATTTTATAGCAAATAAGATCTTATGAAATCTTGAATGAGGTCCAAGGAGTTTATTCATTCAAAGTCACTGTTGTCATTGCTGCAGGGAGAGAACAATGTTAGCAGCAAACAGGCAGACAAGGCGGAAAGTTTTGTGTCCCAGAATATCAGTTCAAGACAGAAGATGTTCCAATTATAAAGGAGCTGAAGGGCTGAAATGTGCCGGTCGCTGTGAACCGGTCGTAAGGCTGAAATCATTTGCATTCGGGACTGTGTGATTCTGCCCGGTTCATCTTTTGAGGTTTTATTTGTGCCACAAGGGTAAAGCTGAGCATTAAATATTAAAAGAGAACAAAGGCATCGTGTCCTGCTCTTTTCCTTGACTCCATTCACCTCCGTCTCTCCCGCAGGCTGTTTTCCCACGTGGACGACCCATTCCTGGACGACCCTCTGCCCAGGGAGTTCGTCCTCTACTTGCGACCCAGTGGACCGCTACAGAACCAGCTCTCCCACTTCTGGCAGCAGAGCCGGGTCACTTGTGGCAAAAACAAAGCCCACAACATTTTCCCTCATATCACTCTCTGCCAGTTCTTCATGGTGAGCTGAATGCATCAACTGAACTTTGATGAAGGCCGATGGTTAAAGGTCGTTAAAGGTTTTAAGGTCATGACCGAGACGGAGTAAATATCAGCTGGATTCTGTTTGCGTGATTCTCGTCTTTGTCCTCGCCTCTTTCTGACATGAACCTCATCACGATGATGTGATGGCATTTTGACAGAGCTATAGTCACGACGGCAGTCTCACCAGGTTGGACCTAGTGACAGTTTTCTAACTGTTCTAACACCACTCAGGTCTCAATTCAGAGCCAGAAAAACTCATTTGTGCAAAGAAAAGAAATCACAAGGTTGTGTAACCACATTAGTGATCCTCTCTATATTTAAGATTTTCATTCGTACCAGTTTTATCCTGCAAAACACTTCACATGCAGCACGTAAGTAAATAGGAATAACTGTAGAGCGCCAACTTAAAGGGGCCCTGCGGACCTTTCTTATAAGCAAACACAGTTTTGTTTACATTCAGTGTTACTCACTAAAACATGTTGTGTGTATCTCTCCTGCATGTTTACATCCAGGTTATTTACAATACACTTCTGCCGGTGCATTTCTACATTCCTTTGCACAATATCTCCATCAACTGTAAACTGGTGGAACAAGGTGAGACTGGTGGCAGGAACGTGTAACGCAGCTCTCACATGTACGTCTCTCGTCTCATGTACAAACAAAACAACAACCCACTCTTAAAAACAGCCTCTAGTGGTTACACTGGGAACCTTTAAGATGTTGTGCTCTGTCAAACATTCAAAACTGGCAGCAGAAATCTCTACAGCAGCCTTTCTCAAAGAGCGACCCCTGGTGGGCCGCAAGCACATTTATGAAAATATCATGTTTTAAATTGTCTGTGAATGACCACAAAGCCGTTTATATGGCTGTTTAAATTGTTTATATTGTGTTGTGTTTTTGAACTTACAGCAAAGGAACCGACTTTCTACTGACGTAGCTACAACACGTTTACACTTTAGATTTAAGTCAGAAATTATCGGGGAGGGGGACGCCTCGGTGGCTCACCTGGTAGAGCGCGGTCAATGCCACTTCCCTGTCTCTCTCACTGTTACTATAATATTACAAAAGGCACAAAAAAAGCCAGAAAAAACTACATAAAAAAGAAATTTGAAAGGAAATGTGGATGAAGCTAACAGTTAGCCTGCCCTGGGATTGTGCTAAATTTTACCAGTTATCAGCTGTTAACTATCAAACAGAAAACAGACATAATCATGGACTCATCAAAACAAATGAAACCTCCAACACACAACAGTGTTAAGTGTCAAATCTTACCGGTAACGTCACCACGACTGAGACTCGTAGTGTGTTTGATGTGTGTGCGTGTTCATGTGTCTGATCATTTTGGAGCTAACATAAAAAGCACCACTTGTGCAGTGTGTGAGGTACAGGATTTGCCAATGATTGGAACGCTGCCTCAGGTTGGGGCGACCTGATGGCAGAGCGGTGAGGGTGCAAGACTGTTTGCTGCATGCCATTCCCTGACTCTCCATCCCCACACTCCACATTTAATTGTTGTATCCAATAAATGAAAATGCTCAAAAAAAGAAAGAAAGGAAAAAAAAAAACTCAGGTGTCCCGGGTGTGATGTTCCTCCCAAGCTCGCCACGATACAACCGAAGTAGTTGCCCTGTTGGTTGTGGGGATGTCTGAGGAGTTAGGTGGTCTGTGAGTTTTATGTCAGTGGTTAAAAAACATCACTTTAACAGATAAATGAAAACAGCAATGTTGCATATTCCATGTCTTATGATGGTTTCTGTCTTTTTCCTTCCACACAGTGTGCAGACCACAAAGTAGAAGCTCTCTGCGAGGCCCTCCAGGCCACCGTACAGCAGTGGCGGGGTCGCTTTCCCAGCCCGCTGCCCCTGGAGCTCTACACATCCTCCAACTTCATCGGCCTCTTTGTGGAGGAGCAGGTGGCCGACGTCCTCAAGCAGTTTGCAGCCGACTTTGCCACAGAGGCTGCGAGGAAGGCAGGTAGGAACCACGTACCCACAATGCCCTGGGTTTGTAGCACTGAGCTGCACGTCTCCTCTTCTTCACTGTCTTTCTTCATCACTATGTTGTGGAGTGTTTACAGCGTGTCAGCATCAGTTCATCACATTCACTGTGTAACGTGTGGTGACCAGGTTTCCTGCTGTGGACGGTCGTCGTGTCGGGTTATTGAAGCACTCGCTCCGTCTGTCACTGTGACTGTTTTTAAACACAGGAGAAAATGAGACTGGCTGCCAAACGCTACTTCAGGCCACTAAGTGCCAAATCAGATTAGAGGCTGTGGTGTTAGCGCTAATGCTCCGTCACATTTCTGCTTCACGGTAAAGAGACAGATCAGAGCGTGTCATCAAAATCGCATTTGGATACGTTGAGGGTTGTAACTCCACTGCAACTTCTTACATTTTTCATGAGGTGCATTTTCTAGACTTTCTCTCAGTGTAAACTCTTTATTAGTGAACACAGAGTGATCTCAGCTGCGTGGTTACCCAGGCGCAGCTGCCTTCATCTCCTCCGAGAAGAATAAAAAGAACAGAATATGATTTTAGATGGCAGGTTTAAGCCTTTTCACGTGTCAAGATTTTGTCCATATACCTCCATCGAGGAGAAAAAACACCCACTGCTACAGACTAACAGGTACAAATCTTTTATTTGACACAAACTTGGGAGCTGAGGCGAGGGGGGGAAAGATATTCAGGTTTGCCCTTGGTTGTGGGGATCAAGCGTGACTGGTGTGGAGGCGTGCAGACAGACAGGCTACAAACCTGTCATATAAGGCGTGGCACATCACAAACCCTCAATTAGCACAGCGATTCAGCGGGGAATGACCCGGGAGGTTTCCTGCCGATTTAAGCCGTACACATCCTCCAACTGTGAATTACATAACATTGTCTGTGGAAAAAATGAATGGGACTGTCAGGGGCTCCCAAAATAGCTCCTCCCACTTTGTAATGCCATTGGCGAGGCCTTCTACGAAATTATAGTAAACCCATCAATCATGTTTTTATTTGGCAACCAGCCATGACCAGATCCTGACTGGGCAGGACACAGTGGCATTTTTACAATACACACAAAGTGCAGTGATTATTGTGAAGGTTAATTTATGGTAAATTATTTTAAGATGAAAATCAGAAATGATACAATGAGATTATGAGCAATTCTATCTAATTATCTCCCCAACAATATGCAGTGTGTCACTTTTTATGATGTAGTTGATCTCACTGAGCACTGATGAAAATGGGTTTTAACAGCAGAAACCGATGATCTTCTCCATCATGCAGAGGTCCATGTGGAGCCTCACAAGAAGCAGCTCCACGTCACTCTGGCTTACAACTTCCCCACCGATCACCTCCCATCGCTGGAGAAACTGGCCAAGGGCATCGAAGTCAAGCTGGGCTGTGATTGGCTGGCTGTCTTGTTCTCCCGGGACATCCGTTTTGCTAACCATGAGGTAGCATTTATTCAAACTAACGAGATCACAGATATTAATTTGTTATGAATGTCAGTAACTCTGCGTGTCACGTGTGCAGACCCTGCGGGTGATGTATCCCTACATGCCTCAGAATGAGGACGAGCTGGAGCTGGTTCCCGGGGATTTTGTCTTCATGTCTCCGGTGGAGCAGAGTAGTACCAGCGAGGGCTGGGTGTACGGGACCTCGCTCGCATCCGGGCTGTCCGGCCTGCTGCCTGAGAACTACGTCAGCCTGGCCGATGAGTCTGACACCTGGGTCTTCCATGGGTGAGCAGAGAACCCCACTCTTTTTTTTTACCCAGATGAAATGTAGTTTGAACACTCTTGTTCCCAGAGGGTGAGTCCTAATAATTTTGGTGACTCCTTAACCTTTAATGAAGTAACCACGACTTCAAAATGTTCTCAAGAAATATCAAAATGTATTTCTATGTCACTTGCTGATCAGATTCAGGCTCCACCCTCTTGATTTTGACGTATCTTTTTATAATCAATCAATAAACAAACATGTACATGTCGTCCTCTGTCACACGTTGTTCGTAATATAATAAATCAGTAAAAGGAAACCTTTTTCCTATCAAATTAAGAGCCGGAGTTTAGACAGTTTAAAATGATACAACTTGATATAAAAGCTCCATATGTTTTATTTGAGGTGTTGATCCATAAGAAGATATATTTGTGGTTTTAAGAACCAAAAACCGTCTCAGTGTAGTTTTACATCTCCTCTCTCAGCTTCTCTCTGGAGCTCTACTAACAACAGGTCGGTGAGCCAATCAGAAGAGAGGAGGCTCTGAGCCTCTCTTCTGATTGGCTGACTGTTTGAGTGATCAAATAAAAATATAGCAGATTTCATGTAAAACACTCAGAGAAACCAAATCCTGCAAAGTTTGGATGGTGGGTCCAGGTGGGCGGGGCTTGGTGACTGCTTTGTTGTGACATCACAAAGTTCCAGAAGTCCTGACGGCGCATTTTAAGGCTCAGTTTCTGAATACAGGCTGTGTGCATTTCTCTGTGGACTGAGGCTTTGATACTTTCTCAGTATTAATATAGAACCTACACCTGATCTATAATCAAACAATAGTTTGTACTTTATTCCTGATGCCCCGTTCTCCTCGTCCTCCACAGCTCCCATTCATTCTTCAGCTGTGGTCCCAGTGACAAGACCAGTAAGGAGAGAGGGATGTTTGACGGACTGCTGGACAGCCGACGCCCCGACAACACAAGTCCTGGAGACACGCCCACCCTCAGTCTTATATGTCATCCAATGCAGGTAATTTTTTTGTGCAGGTTTCACATAATTAAAACTCAATCATAGATGAGGTTGTGCATAAACATTTTCACAAAGCCCTTTAATTTATTGAAGTCTTTTTATTCCCAGCAGGTCCTGCGGATCAGTGGGAGTCACTCTCGGCAGTCCAAGCGATCGCTTTTCGTCTGCCGGCACGGAGAGAGGATGGATGTGGTGTTTGGCAAACACTGGCTCTCCCTCTGCTCAGACAGTAAAGGTGAGCGCATCCTACGAGGATCTTCAGAGGACAGAGAAAAGCTGCCGAAGAGAAAAACGTTGTAGTTTAGGGTTTGAAAAAGTAGATTATAGAAATAAGTTGAATAAAAAAGTGTGTTTTTGTTGTTCGGCAGGTAGATATGTCCGTTCCAATCTGAACATGCCTCCCAGTCTGCCACTGTGGGGAGGACAGAGAGACTACGACATGGACACTCCTCTCACTGTGTTCGGCGCCACACAGGCTCGACTAGTGGGTACGTCACCTGTACAGATCCAAGCGATGTGTTTCACCTGGTGTCAGAGGACTGAGCCATTTTGTTAATAAAGTGTATGTGTGTTATTTAACATGTGATTTTCCAGGTGAAGCCCTGTTAGAGAGTAACACGGTGATAGACTTTGTGTACTGTTCTCCCTCCCTGCGGTGTGTTCAGACTGCGCAGAACATCCTGAAAGGTAAGAAGAGTTTCCCAGAGCAATCATGACGGGACAGGGATTCTCTGACGTTCACTCACCCGTGTGTGTGTGTGTGTGTGTGTGTGTGTGTGTGTGTGTGTGTGTGAGAGAGCAGGTCTGCAGCAGGACAGTAAACTGAAGGTGAGGGTGGAGCCGGGGCTGTTTGAATGGACCAAGTGGGTTTCTGGGAACTCCCTCCCTGCATGGATACCCCCAGCTGACCTGGCTGCAGCCCACTTCAGTGTGGACACAATGTACAGGTGATACAAGCGAAACACACACTGTGCAACTGATCATATGTTCTGTGTGTAATTAGTGACGTAAATATGTTTGTAATGTGTAAAACAGCTCATCTAATTCTGCAGATGTTTTCATACAAAAACAAAGTGACGTTTGAATTAAATGTGTCACAGCCAGCATTATATTATTAAAGAACTTAAATAGTCTTAAATAGTAAAAATAGTGAAAAAAATAGTAGAATGTGTTTGATTAATATGCTGCAAATCTCCATTTATTATGCCGTGAGAGAATTTCTGTGTCTGTTTTAAACTCAGAGTGGAAACAATAGTGGAAAAAACATTTCATGTATCACTGACGTAAATATCATGAAAGGCAACGTGATTCTACTGACCAATAAAAAATGTCTCTTCTGATCTTTATTACTTGTCACGTCCATGTCATGACCCTGTTGTAATGATGCTGCATTTTTTTTCCGGTGATCTGATTGGTCAGTAGTCAGAGCATTGGTTACTATGGTGATACCAGAAAACCTGAGTTAATCCCAAAGAAATCAGGTTAAACCACAGATCTCGCTCCATGATCATATCCCCTGATCCGTGACTGTGGCTCGTTTCATCATCACTTCTTTTCCCACTTTTTTCTCTCCAATGTGAAGAATCAAAACAGTGGAACGGCCTGAAATGAAATCCTTGAACTCCTCAGTAGTAGTAAAGTAGTAAAGATTTTCCTTAAAGGGTATCCAAAATAAAAACAGCCTAATGTCTTCACCTTAAGGTTTCCATAAAAAGTTCACTTAAGTATTTCCGGTTTTCTCCTTATCTTAGTCGTATACTTAAAGGAATCACTTACAGTCATTTAAACCGTTGCACAAAAGACCTCAGCGACCAAAGTAAGGAGGAAAGAAAAAGAGTGTTTTATGTTACACAAGTGCTAATGGCAGCAAATCAACGGTCGCTACGGAAACAATAGAATTTTACCGCTGTAGAAATCTCTTTTACTTCACCGTAACTAAGGAAACATTTTCTGTGCAACACCCTCAAGTAACTCCCTCAGCTAAGGAGAAATGAAAGCTTAAGTGTCAGAGCTAAGTAGAAGACTTAAGGTGTTTATTGTGATGATTCACACAGTATTTAATGCATCCAGAGGTCAGAGGTCACCTCCATTAAAAAAAAAAACACATTCCATATCATAATATCAAATATTAAATCCGTTCTTCTTCATTTTTCTCTTGTCAACATCGTTTATCTTGTTTTCATGTCGTGTGCTTTGCATTCGCAGCGTCCGATCATGTGTGTACTTACTGTATATACAGTATATACTGTACAGTGTTTACTACCTGCAGCTGCAGCTGTGTTGTTTGTTCCTCTCTCACAGCTCTGGAGCTCTAAAGTCTCTGTCACTAGTTTTACTTGTCAAATCTCTTTTTCACTGAAAACAACCACAGACCACAGAGCACGTCTGACGAAAGCCTCCACTCAACAGAAGCTATGTTTTTATATGTGGTATTGGTTTTCTGATAACTGGTACTTGTCTCCATATAGACCTCTGATCCCCGTCAGCAAGCTCACTGTGTCTGAATCCTATGAGAACTACATGAGCCGGAGCTACCAAGTGACCAAAGACATCCTGGCAGACTGCAAAAACACTGGTGAGAGACACGCAGCCGAGCTCCTGGAGAGTTCTGTAACAGGTTGTTGAGTTTGTGTAGGAGAGCTTTTACTTTATTGTTTTACATTCTCATGTGTTTGTTCCTCTGCTGATGTTGCATCCTGCCTTGGTTTCCACTCTCCGTAGGAAACAACGTGCTGATTGTAGCCCACGCTTCTTCCTTAGAGGCCTGCACACGCCAGCTGCAAGGCCGCAGCCCACAGAGCGCCAAGGACTTCATCCAAGTAGTCCGAAAGGTCTGTTCGCTGCGTCTCTTTTTCTTCTATACGTCCCACTTCTCCGCCCATCCATCATTGCTTCCATCTGGTCCCCTCAGTCCCCCTCCCCATCCTCATTGTGGCTGGATGTGCAAAAACATGGGTGTGTGCACTTAAAACCCCAGAGATGTGAAGCATCCGCTCGTAGAAATAAATAAAAAAAAGCAAATCACTTTGTTCAAATGTTCAAAAAGTTTTTTGTTTTCACCCACCAGCAGACAAACAATGAAACGTCCCTGTTAGTGAATCTAAAACAGCTCTCAGGAACATGCGTGGATTCTTCAGGATCTCATGTTATTTGTCAGCTAAAGAGAAAAAAGATTTTTGAATAATTACACTGAAGGAAAGAAATGTCTGGTTTTTGACCTACTCTTTAAAATACGATCATATTTTCATCTCAGTTACAGTGACGAACAAACACAATCTATTTTAACTAGCAACACACAAATCATTGTGCTGTTCTTGTCCGTCTTAAAAGCTTCATTTAAACATTCACAGTGTGTTCTGGGAAAAGTATGAGCATCAACCAAAGCCAATTAGAGTCAGGAGTCGGCAACGATGGAGTCCTAGAACCACCTCCCCATGTTGTCTGTCTCCACCACTAGTTTCAGGTTACATCCCTGTTTATCCAGAGTCATATAAAATATTAAACATTTGTGTTAAATTTTGTCGTAATGAGTTATGGCTAAAAAATCTAATCATCTAATCAGTTCATCTCTGAGAGCCAGGGGACGTTTGTGCCAAATGTGAAGGGATTCCCTTGAAGAGCTCCTGAGATATTCACAAGGGCATAACCGTATTTTGTGAGGTCACCGTGACCTTTGATCTTTGATCTTTAACCACCAAACTCTAATCAGTTCATCCTCGAGTCCAAATGAATGTTTGTATGAAATTTGAAGAAATTCCCTCAAGGCGTTACTGAGATATCGCGTTCACAAGAACGGGACATTTGGAGTTTCTTCTTACTCACAAGAAGAAACATCTGCTGTTGAACCAGGCCTCACAAGAAATAGATTCCAAAGGATCAATAACTGTTGATTACAGAGTCATCTCATGAGTTTAGATACTCATTAGTCCTCAGTCAGACAAACTGTCTATAAATGAAATGATTAAGTTCTGTGGCGCCTAGTTGACTTCAAAGAACAACACAGATGCTCAGTAAGATATAAAAAAAAAAGCATCTCAGAGTAACAGCTGAAGGCTTCAAGGGAATCACTGGAGCTGGTTAACATCTCCGTCCATGAGTCTAACAAACACGAGTCATGGAGCAATAAAAACATTTCTGCGCCCTGATTAACGGGTTCAGTTTTGCTGCCACTTTGTTCGACATGTAAACACACGTGACATTTGGTCTGAAACTCTTGTCCAGTCTGACGCTGACTCAGTGAACAGGCAGGAGACTGAGCACCGGCTCACATGCTCACTAGTCACATAATGTTGACGGTGCTTGTGGATTAACACCAGACCAAACTTCCTCATTAGATAATGGTTCTTTGTTCGGCTGCTCATTAGGGAGAAAATGGGGTCACAAGCTTTTGTAACTCAGGTCAGAGAGGCTTCAGTGTTTGTCTGCATGTTCTTTAACAAAACAAACTTTCCCTTGATTTTGAATCAACGAAACTGAACATGTCAGGACAATAGACAAAGAAAAGAAAAAGCTCATTCTCGCCTCTTCAAAACACATCTTCTATTTGTTTTCTGTGTTGTGATTTGATTTTAATGTGGCCTGGAAAATTCATGTCACAATGAAAGAAATGTATTTATTATGATTATTATTAAGGACAAAAAGATAAATAATTATCCTTTTAAAAATGTTTTTGTTTCATTAGACAGTAAATGCACAAATGCAAAGGAAATACTTATCAGTGTAATATCTAATGTGATTGCTCTGTTTGAGCTGTGTGTCTGTATCTTGAAACAGGAAAGAATCACAAAGTTTATTTGAGAAAATTCTGGAAAAAAGTTGATTTGTGTTGAAAACATGTTGAAATATTCCAACTTTGGTATTTTTTATTTTATTTTTTTCCACTTTTTATAAGAAAATAAATATTTGAAACTCACTATTAAATTAACAGTAAATTAGTTTATTTATGTAACTTGAGTAATTTGACTTTGTTACAGTTTAATAAGATCAACACATCAGCTCACTTCTCTGAAATATATTCATAATTTGATTTCAAATAAATACAGATATTGGATATTCACTGTCTTCAATCAGCAGTATGATGAGGTCTTAACATATTTACATTGTGCATATGTATGTTTTATTATCACTACTATGTTTGTTGTAGTTGTTTTACTTCAGGGGACCATGATCTAATATTTGAAGCTTTTCCTCTCTGACAGAATTCACTTCTGAGAGAAATACATTATAACGACCAAATTTACCTCCTCAAAAACAAATCAAATGATCGAACAGTTTTATTGTTGGTGCCACCAGAGGGCTGCAGAGCACAAAGTCCAATGAGCCACTGTCCAGCAGTGCGGCTTATTTGTTTATATTCAGTAAAACAGTCAAATTCACCAAAGAAACAAAAAGACGTGATCAGGAAAATGTTATAGAATGAAAACTGTCGATGTTGATGATGCCTGTCGTACTTTCATTTCTCTTCCTGAAAGTAACCGTTGATTCCTCTGCTCGGTCTTCAGATCCCCTACCTGGGCTTCTGCTCCTGTGAGGAGCAGGGAGACACGGGGGTGTGGCAGTTAGTGGACCCTCCCATCCTCCCCCTCACACATGGACCAAACCACACCTTTGACTGGAGGGAGGCACTTCTGCAAGAATGATGTCAGCCTGATCTGAACCCCCCCGCCTCATCCCCACGCCCCCTGAACCCGGTCATACTGTACTCCCACAGACTGCATTAACAAGTGTCAGACCAGTGGCCTCCAAAACACTGGGACCTCTCTCTTTACACAGCAGTGACGGTTGAAGGAGCTTCCTGCCTGAAGATGAGGAGCCGAGTCTCATCAATTTATCAAACACCCACAATTCATTGTGTGATTGAAGGGAGGAGAGGCTGGTTTGGTGGTTTGCAGGGTGGCTGGGTGTTGGATGCACTCACTGACATTCAGCTCCATCATGCTTACATCCCGTCAGCCCAGTCTCAGGAAATTTTGTGAAATTAGCTCCGCCTCTGTGCATGATTAGCAAGAAACTTATTTTTCCCAACATGAATATTTTGATGAAGTCAGCCAGACTAAACCAGAATTGTGACTCTGAAGTAAGGCCATTGAAAGCTAAGATGTGGACGTTAGAGATATTAGCTTTTAGCTCAGAAGACTCAGGTTCTGTTTCTATTTAGCAAAGTTCATTCTCTGAATTTTCTGAAAGTTTTTTCCTGTTTCACTGAGCCGAACAGTTTTAGTTCCCTGACTGTAAACAAAGCTAAAGCTAGATAGCAAAATAAATCTACTTGCGCCACATGCTTGTTTTCCTCTGGCCCGGAATACGCTCAGTTCCATGGCCCAAATCTGGCTCATATACAGCATGACTGTCAGATGCTACTTCCACATCTGGACCAACTCTGGCGCACACACAGAAAATCTTTCGGCTGTCAGTCAATACAGACAGATAACAGCCAGAATCTGCCCAGATGTGGAAGAATGTGGGCCAGACTCAGGCCAAGATCCCAGTTGTGTGTTGGGCCAGAAGATGCATTTTGCTATCAGCAAATGTTAAACTAAACTGTTAGCTAATGTTAAACATTAGCTGTGTCTGAAATCACTCTGTTGTTTCCTCATTCACTTTAATGATTACTAAACGGAGTCAGGTGCAGCGTAGAACAGCTGTAATCTTGGTATCTATCAAATCCGATGCATGTGTAGAACATGGATTTCACAATTCAGAAAAGTGCACTAGATAGAAAACTGATTTTGGACACAGCTTTGATTTATGCCTTACCCATCATAGTGGTAATAACAGCCTCAATGTCAGGAGGTCAGGCGGTTAGTGATTGCTTTAGTATGCTAACATTTTAACATGTTAAAGTTAGCATGTTAAAAATGTGTGCACTGCTAATGTTAGCATCACTATGTAATCACGCTTGTGTGTCTGTTAGATTTAACAGGTGCTAGCATGTTTACATGAACAATGTTGCTTGTTAACCAACATATCCAACATGCTAATTGTTAGCCTTAAGCCTGATAACATGCTACATTAGCACACCTCTTACAAAGGCTAAATGATTTTGGGTGACAACATGGCAGTTTCTGCTCCACTAATGTCAAAGATATAATAACAAAGCTGTTTCACCATCTTTAATTCATTCAATAATTTTATTTTCTGGTTTGTTATGTGCGTTACAGCCTCAGTGGGTTGTTAGCATGGCCACAGACTTTTAGCTAGCAGCAGTTGCAGCTTGATGTGGGACATCGGCACATGTAATGTTATGTTTGAGTTTGTGCTTATTTCACAAAATTTGATGAGACTGTTGAGTATTATGAATTTGTAATGAGTGTTACAGTATATCACAACAGTACTGCTTCCCTGCACAGTTTGACCATACATGTGAGTAAGTACACACAGGCTGTTGAGTCAGCTACCGACCAGAATGAAAAGAGACGGTATAATAGTTTGAAACGAAATACCACCTTCTGTCCTGCTTGTCCTGCTTCAGTAGCCGAGAGAAGACGAATCAGCTCTGGCCTCAAGTCACAATGTGGCCCCTCACGTTGTCTCTATTTTGACGGCACATGTAGCACATACAGTACAGCTGTGTCTTCTGCCAGTCGTGTAGTGTATGTACGAAAATCAAACATCCGCAACTATAACAGCACAACCTGCACTATTGACAATCTTACAGTAGCTTCTTGATTCTGGTCCAGCAACATTTTGAGTCTGTGTTTGTGATATATTGTTCAGGGGTTCAGAGTAGCTGTAAATAATCATATTTTGGAGAAAAAAAAATAGTCTTCCAATTTTATTTCTATTTATTTATAAACATTTCTTTCAGATGTTACAAGCAAAAAAATATATATATAATAAAAAGAGGATCATCGCTTTTAACAGCATGTAAGAATTTATCTCAGGTGTTGACATATGTATATGCAGCTTTGAAAACTGTCCCATTGAGTGACTGTGTTGTTGTGAGTGCCTCTTGGAATTAAAGTGATGTCTCCTGATGAACTGAGTGCCCACTCATGGCTACAGAAGAAGAAGTGACGTCGGCTGATACGTGATGCACATCACACGTGAAACCCTCATGTGTGATGTGCATCGTAACAGTTGCATGTTTTGAATTTATTATAAGACAGTTCTTTATTATTCCCTTTCTATTCTGGGTCAAATTTTAGAGATATTTTATCGATTGGAGAATTGAAAAACTTATTTCCTGTCAGGTTCTTTGGTGGAAACTCATTCAGACTGTTTGAGTGCAGTTTCCTTACTGCATTCAGAGAGATTTTCCCGCCTACATCTTGTCAACTTACATCAAAAAGTGCCGCTGTAACAGAGAACGCCCATCACCAACAACATTCGACCATGTAGTTCTTACACAGAAAAATTTATTTTGGTCACTTCACTGACAGAGGCAACAAATCAAAGATAAATTCTGACAGTGACATTGTGGTGAATCCTGTGTTTACAAAATTACATTTACAGAAAATATAATAACAAACAATTAACATAATAGAAATATTAAGAATCCAAATAACTGGCTCTGGTTCAGCCCCACTAGTCTTCTAGAAATATGCAACTTTCTTTCTAGGCTGCGAAACCTTTGAAGACTTGTGTCCCAATTCAGGGGGTTTGGAGGACGTGGTCTACGAACACCTTGTCTTAGTTGCCGCCGTACACTGCAAAGGACGGACTGAAATGAGACGGTCTGGCCTATGGAGGATTTGTCAGTTACCTCTTACCAGTAGTGCAGCTTTAAAATACAATTATGACCATTTATCTCTGTAAACAAAGACTCAATGTAGACTCGAGTAGTGACGTTCGTATGTAATCCCTGTGATTTACAATCATATAATGTATGAGGTTCTGTTGTGATTGACAGAACCTTCACTGTGTTAATTGATACTGAGCCATATCACAGCACAGTTCAAATGTTCATGCTCCACCTCTTCTTACAAAAAGTTCAGCAGTTTCAAGCCAACGTTGTTTTTCAGATTCAGAGATTCTGCCAGAATCTCCACTGAGTGCTGAGCAACAGTTTGTCACATTTGTGAAATATTCTTATTCACACTGTTGCTGGGAGTTAGATCAACACTGCTCTTGTGTCTGTGCACTAAATATGATGCTAGAGCTAGCAGGCGATTGGCTTAGCTTAGATAGCCTAGTTTGCGTACATAGCTCCTTGTAAAACCACAAGTTTTGTAGTGTATGTGTGTTGATCCATGAGTGATAGTAGGCAGATTTTTCTAGCTTTTGAGTGAGCCAGGCTAACTGTTTCCTCCTGCTTCCACTTTTTATGCTAAGCTAAACTAAGCTAATCCACTTCCAGCTCTAGTTTAAGATTTAAAGGTTCCCTGTGGAGTCTTTACACCTCTAGTAGTTCTATGGAGCTTTCTTTTCCTGTGAGTGGGTCTTGACTTTACTAGACGCGCTAAAGAGCTTAAGGATACACACAGTGCATTTTCATGAGTGACACTGAATGTACATACAGCTTTTATTTGTTTACACGGAAACTCCACAGGACACTTTAATACGTAAACATGAGACTGACATCAGTCTGCCCAGCTGACTCTCTGCAAGAATGTGAATGTGTGTATTTCTGAAAATGTCCAACTGTAAATTCAAAGAGAGGAGAAAAAAAAAAGCTATGTGAACAAATCTTTATTCCAGTAAGTGCAACACAATTTGATTGGGTTGATTTTGGAAATCTTTCCTGCACTTTTAGGATCTTCATCTTCAAATTCATTCAGGAAAAAAACACATCTACTTCATGATAAACGTTGTTCATTTCCTGGGGTATAAAAACATGTATTATTAGTATTGTATCATTATGTGAAAACAGAGCGCAGAACATTTTAACACCTTCCTTAATCTTTGACCTGCAAACCAGTGATATCCAGTCAAGTTAAATGTCTGTTGGAGCAGCACTAATTGTATAAAAGCGTGTTTCTATAGATTATGATGCATATTCATATGAAGAGTGAAGAGTGAAAGAAACAGAGGAAGAAGCCATGTTGTTCCTGTATTCTTCATTTATTGTCAGAACATATCATCAAACCTACAGAGATTAAAGTTTCTTCTGTTGCAAATCAAAATATATTTGTTGGTTTATGATTAAAGGTGAGATCTGGAGTCTTTGTGTAAAATGTATTTGATCTGTTCTTGTGTTGGTGAAGCGAGTGAGTTATAAAGGAAGAAGTTATCCTTTTTAAACAGCTGTGATATTTTCATATTTTGAGTAACATGTCATATGATGTGTGGTCACACTGTTTATTTGCAGTTTGTTTGACGGAACATGAAACAAAAGCAAATTTTTTTCTCCATAGCAATAACATTATAAAACAACAGGTGTGCAGACTTAACTATTTATCCATCTATGCTGCAAAAACTGTAAAGGAGAACAAACAAATAAAATCCTACATCCTTCTTTTTGTTGTGTTTTGTGAGTGAATCCAGAATGAATGCTCAGAAAGAAAGTAAAACATAGCAGACCAGTGAAAAGTTTTTCATCAAACAGTTTTGGAAAACACCAGAAAGAAAACAAACACTTTATTTTTATAGCACGTTTCAAATCACAATAGCAAAGTGCTTTATAAGACAAGATGAAAAATAAATGATAGAAAAACATTCAAAAACAGTTTAAAGCTTATACAACATTGGGGAGGAGATATAAGAGAAAAGTGCAACAATGAAGTTCAGTGAAAATGAGATAAAACAGTCTAAAATGATTGTTAATTGATAAGAAACAGGAGAAATGACTTCATATAATAATAGATTTAACATGTAAGAAGCAGATTCAGAACCCACGCCCCGATAAAGCACACTAAACACATCTTATAAACTTATTTCTTCATATATCCAGAGCAAGTATGTCATAATAATATATCCTCTTATAGGTGACACATATGGAAACACCAAACTTGATATAGGGACATATACAGGGGTGGACTGGGACAAAAATTCATCCTTGGCATTTTCTGTCCAGACCAGCCCACACATTATCAGCGGACACTGCATAGAAGTCCACTAATCTCGCGGCATCTTCTCTCATGCATACTACAAAGGAGAGTCATATTCCTTGATAGCAGTTAACAAATAAAGCATTTAACTATGAATTCGAGGACTAAAATTGACAGCTATAGCAATAAAGCAATCAATCTTTATTCATTATAGTGTCAAATCACAACAGAAGTTACGTCATGACTAGGGGTGGGACGAGACTAACGGGAAGAACCCGTATGCTACCCTTTCAGTTTTTAGTCTGTGAAACCACAGAATAATGTACAAGATAAAAGATTAGTTCATATTGAACGAAACGTTCATGAGCGTAACATTAGTGGCTTTGCCACGTTTTCATTATGACACTTACTAGTGTTTTCCAATGCAAAAAAGTCAGATGTTTGTGACCGAACGTCGATCGGTTCACCATGTTGTAACCTCTTTACATTACTGTTAGGAGATCAGCCATGATTGAAAGTGAACTAGGTCTTTACATTTCTCAGGAGATTTCATCATCCCTCTGTCTTTATCGGGACCTGAGCCAGTACAGATGCAATATCGCCTCCACCTGTCTCACCAACAGCAGAGAGTCCAGACAGTGAGGAGGGTCTAGGTGAGTAACATGCTATCATTCACTTTTAAAAGTAAGACTTGTGTATACCACTGTGATTAAATCAGACCCGCAGTGTGTACATGTTCATACTGCTGATTCTTTACAGTATATCCATATTTGTATTGCTGCATTTGTTGGTTATATAGTGTGTTTACAATGAATTCTTATCATACCTCTAGTTGTTTACTCTTCATTTCCTTGCATTTAAATTTCATAATATTCATACTGTATTTTTGCATATTCATATCTATCTTCACAATTGAATATACACACACAATAGATCTAACATGTTTGATTATAAAGAACTTGTATGATCTAAAGGAATTGTCCTATCGCATGTTTGTCTGTATCAGGACCAGAAGTCCAGTCTAATCACCAATGATGGACCAGCACCAGCCTTTTCTTCTGCATGTGGCCTCATCAATCAACCCCTTTACATCAACACCTTGAGGTATTATCCCTGCACATGACGGATATTGTCTAAACTGTCATCTTTTGCACATCTTGCCCAGCAGGAGTTTTGTCATTTTAAAACACATTTGTACATAGTTTCGTAGGATTGTTTTATTAATTTTTTCTTTAATATATGTATCATGTATATTTGTTTGACTGTTACAGTATTTTACTTTTTTTTATTTTTTTTTATTTATTTTATTTCCTCTGAATATGTTAATTGGGTACTACAGCAAGCCAAGTATCTTGTAAGTGAAAACCTGCTTGGCAATAAACCTTATTTTCTGAGTTTGCCTTTGCG